ATTTTATAAGAAAAAAATAAATAAAAATAAAATTTAATTTATATAATTCTTATATAGTTATATATTAATGTAAATAAGCAGTGTAGAGTCTAACGAATGTTGTGTTAGATTGAACTTATTTTTAAATAAAAATTGAGGTTTTCAACAGTCACAATTGAATAAATAGTTTGGAGTTGAGATTTTTCTTGTATTCACACTCATTTGCAAATGAACATCCACATGGTATCTGACGAATGGTTAAGGCACTGACCCTTTACCAAGAGATCTCGAGGTTTAAAACCTGGTTAGGCTACTATAAAAACAAACTTATGATATTATTATAGATAAATATACAATAAAATATAGTAAAATGTTAATATAAAAGTGATCAACCCCATATATCCGTAAGATTGGGTATTAAATATAAACAACAATACCACTATTACTATTAATAGCCTTCAATATTTAAGATATTAGAAAAAAACTACGGCGGGCTGATAACCATCTAGTTATAACTCAATAATTTTTGAAACTAAAGTTTAAATATAAATTTAAGTTAAAGACTTTAATGCGTCCAAGTGGAGTAAGGAAAAAAAAATAACATGTACTTGTGATTGGGTTTTTCAAATTGTTGCATTTCGTTTTAATTCGCTTTATTTCTTAATACGGTAGATATTTTATTACAAACATATTTTTGCGGTACTATACTTGTTCTAGTACAAGTAATAAAATTTATGAAAATTTTGTTCGGTTAAGGTTTTAAAATCAGTTGGTGTTATAAGGTTTTTACTCTAACATACTTTTTAAATTTATAATTAATATTTTATAAATTAAAAATTACATTATGATATAGTGGTCGGAACATGAGAATGCCAAACTGTCATTTGTTTGTCTAAAGTAAAGTAAGGCCATAAAAACTGTTCTAGCAACTGTTAAAATTCTAGCAACTGTTAAAATCAAATGGAACTGTTCTGAATATTAGAGAAAATTTGCAAATTATAAAAATCATTGTGAAAATTATCACAACTTATTAATGAAAAATTTCAAAAATTTCCATAAATTTCAAAAAAGTATAAAGTTTTAAAAAAAATGTTGGATTAAGAAAAGGTGAACATCAAAAGAGAACGCGATATCAATTACAGTTGATGAAAAGATGCTCTCTGAAGTTGAATCAAAGCATCATCGTATTTAAATTGAAAATTTCTGAAAAAAATTGAAAATGAAACAATTCTCGTTTATCTTGAAGTATGGAGTCCTCGCTTTCTATTTAACTCAACAGAATTCTACTGTGTGTATATGTATGTGTAGATTTATTCAAATTGTACTTCAAATATCATATAATATATACATATATATATATGTATCAAGATAATTGCAAATTGATGTGGTCAATTAGAGGTTAAAGAACGAATGGTTTTATGCTTTAAAGGTAAAAAAAAAGAGTAAACTTGTATTAAAAATTGGGTAAGATTTTCAAAATAATTTTATTTTAGTATAAAAAATAAATTCAAATGAAGTGAAAGTATAAGTATATTAAATTTATGAACATGCGTACATACATTCGTACTGATACTGTGTTTACTGACTATACGTAAAGGCAAAGGAGGAGATGATAAAATTTTTACAATTAATTTTTTTTTTCTTTGTACAACTTTTATAAAAAATTTTAAATAGTTGAAAATTGTTTTGTTTAAATTTCTTAAAGGTATAATAAAGTCTATATAATAAAGTCAATATTAAATTAAAGAAAGTGTAAAGTGTTTCAAGATTTTCCTTGGATATTTCATTCAAATCCATTTAGTTTATCAAATACAAATAAATATTTTTGGCTTTTAGTAGAACATTTAACAAGAAAAGTAACAAGAAAGTGTGCTTTTCATTTTAAATTTCTCACCCCCTCTCTAGAGAGGTAGAAATTTCAAATCTTATACAAGCCGGTAAGGTCAACAAAGAAATCATTTTTCTTGAAGAAGATTTTAATCTATCACCATTTGTCCATTTTCTTTATAACTCTTCTATCAAAATATTTCACAAAAAAATGTAGTAAAATAATTTGACAAAACATGTCAAATATCACTGCATGTTAATTTTATTATTTCATTAAAATGTTAATTTCTGACTTTAATTGTTGAAGAGAACTGAGCAATATCCAATTTCTAAAATCATTGGTTTGATTTTCTGTTCAATATTTGAAGTTCAACTAAATGCTTTCCAACCAATATCATAGTTTGGAATTCAACGTACTTTAAAAGCACAACGGATAATAAGTAGGAGTGAGAAGATTTTAAGATTAAGATTTAATTTGAAAAAGTAAAAATATTTTATAAACTCTGTGTGTTTCATTTTTCCATTTCAAGAGTTAAGGAATCAGAAATTTACTTTGAGTAATAAAATGATCAACAATAGACTTCAGTTTTGGGCAATTAAATTTTCTGAAAATTTGCATTAGCAGATTGTTCATATATTTGTATAGAATGTATAAGGATTTATTGTGGCTCTCCCCCCATAAGTGTGGGTCAAGTTCTACAGCACTCGCCCCTGACCCACCGTCCTGGTGAACCCGAGCAACTTGTTAAGCTCGGAAGACTGATTCATATTTTCTTTTGTTTTTAATTTTGTTTCACTATCAAAAAGTTATGGTTTTCAAAATAAATAGTAACTCGAATTTAATTCGACAAACTCTTACAAAATTTGACGCACGTTGAATTCTATCGAAAACAAATAATTTTAATTAATATTAGTTCTTAAGTTGTAATCTTTCTTTTAAGGTTTCATTTTTATTTAATCAACTTATTGAAAAAGTTTTTGTTGCACTAAAACTCAAAACGTTGTCAGACCATTTAAGCATTAGACCAAAACTGTCAGACCATTTAAACATTGGACTAAAATATTTCGGAAAAATATGTATATGGTATGGTGATTTGTTCGACAACTTCATCAGGGTTTTAATTTATATATTAGTTGCCGAAAGTATCATCAATAGTTTTCAAAGAGTTCCAAATCCCTCTGATTTTATTTAATAAATAAAATATGTAATATAGATAGGAAAAAAATCCTTTATTAATACCAAAAGTAATTTTGTTTCAATTTCAATGATTTTCCATAAATCTATTAATATGAATGCAGAGTGAGACTAAAATATATTGAACATGAAGTTGAAAATTTCGAAATTTTACTTATTAAAAATTTCAAATTCTTCGTTCCATTTTAATTATGAATATTGAAAAAATGTAGGCCAAGGTTTAATACTTTTACTTTAATTCATTAAAAAAAAATTATTAAAATTTTTTCATGTCTGCGTTCTCAAAGTTTTTGTTTTTTTTTTTTAAAAACGAGAAAAACATAAAAAATTTATTTTTTAATATTCAAGGAAAACGTTTTTAAAAGGAAAATGTTAGAAGATGATTGTGAAGTTGAAAATTCTTATTAGAAATTCGCAAATTTAATGGAAATATTTCTATATATATTTAGTTGTATGTGTATATATGTTTGTATTTTAGTATTTTTATAGAGATTAACGATTTGATAAATTAAAGGCAATGGCATAGCAAGCTAGTAATACTTTTCTTTTTAATAAACTCGAACTAGCTACAAAAGTTCAAGTGTAAGGATTGAAGAACAACAAAAAATTCTTGTTGATTTAAGTGCAACAAGAATTGTCAAGGATCAAATAGAATTCTTGGTATGCTTTCTAGTTTTTCTTTTAATTTGAATGTGCTTTTAATTTGAGAGTTAATCTAATAAAGTCTACCAGGATTTGAGAAAAATTAACCATAATCTAAAATCAAACTCAATTAACAGCACATTAATAATTATTTGGGTTTCGTCTCTGTAACAACTTGTCGGATTTCATCTTCCAAAGTCAAACTATTAATGTTTCTTATAAAATAATAATTTATAAACCTCTTTAAATATTGAAACCCCAAGAGTAGAAGACCCTAGTAGGGTTGTTATGTCAATTGACAATTGGGTGTGTTTCTTTCCTTCATCAAATATTTGTTTTAATAAATCAAATCTAATATTTACTCTATACCAAATCGTATAACTTTGTTGAAATCCTAGTTTGTGCGAATTCGAATATTCTTCCACATTTCAGTTAGACTTCTTTTAACAATTAAAATTTCGCTTATTAAGAAAAATTTTAATTTACTTTTATTTTCGTTCAACAATTTTCAGATGTTTTCCAATGTAAAATTAATCGTAACAGAGACACGTTATCTGAAAAATTTATAAAAAGGGCAACACGATTTTTTTATATGTTATTCGAAGTCTAAAATAGTACACTAAGCCGAAATTCTATATGGATTATGGAAAATCTATATTTTTTCAAATTAACATGTGATTAAAGTTGTCCCACGATGTTGTGTTGTGTTATTTTGAACCTATTCTAAGACGAAGTAGTTAAAAATTGGTTTTGTTTAGAAAACTGTAATCTCTTTCAATTAAATATATTCTATTAAATCATGCGATGAATCTTAAAGAATATCATAACAATATTTGAAATTTAATTTTCATTTTTATAAACAAAGCTTGATTTTAAATAATGTTAAATTTTACTTCTAATTTAGTGAATAGTTTGAATTTTTCAATTCAATTATGTAATTGAAAACAGGGATAAAAAAATAATTTTGTATTACAAGCCAAGGTTGTTTCGTTGTTTCAATACTATTGATGAAAAGCAAATTGTTTGGATACAAAACTCTTTATTTCAAACAAAATTTCCCATTTCTCCTCAATCCATGTTAATTTTCAACTCTGAATAATAATCGTAGTGTAATTTTTAGAATCAGCTTTTCGAATTCAATGAAATTACTCTTGCCAAATGTACCAAATTTCTTTTATATAATATACCAAATGTAATTCAATTAATAATATAATTGATAAAGAATCACGGATATTTTAACTATTTAATTCTTATTAAATCAAATCATAGTAAACAACGTTCGACGTTAAGCAAACAGCTTTAAAAAAATTTTAATAATTTAAAAAAAATAAATTGCAAATATTTTTAAGAAACATACCAGTTTTACCATTATTTGAATCTAATGTTTTTATGGATCCAATATTAATTGTACCATTAAGTGGTGTTTGTTGATGATGCATAAGGCCATTACTATTTAAACTTGTTGGGACGGGATAAAATTCTAACATTTTTGTTATAAATAAAAATTTGTATATCTCCTTGAGTTTTGTAAAGAAATTATTATTTTTTTATTTCAGAGATTTCTGATGTTTTTTAGCCAATCTCATTGAATATTAAAATTTAGAAGAGCAAATAAAATTCATAAATTTTTGCCACAAAATTTATAATAATTATTAAATTAAAATAAAATTGTATTTAATAGTAAAATATTATTTTCAATAATAAATTCATAATGTTATTTTTAATATTAAAAATTTATTTTCATTATTTTTCATTAAAATTTTCATATCACTTGTTTTTTATGTTAAATTTATTATTAGAAATCCCATATAAATTTTTATTATACAAGATTAATAATTCTTTTATTATTAAACATTTCTTAATTTTCTCAATTTATTAACTTTTAATTATAGTGATAATTTTAAAATAAAATTTGTTACCGTAACTTTACAACAAAAATTTCATGAAATTAAAGAAAAAAAAGCAATGAAATTTTTCTTGTGATTTTGGTAACACTTGTTACCGCGTTTTTATTTTATTTTTCTTATATAAAAATATTATGACTTTTTAAATTTATGATTATTATTTGAAAGCGCCCCTATGACTTCAAATTTTTTTAAAATATAGCTACTAAATAAAAATTATTTAAATTATAAAATTCTTTAAATAATTACGCGAATATTTGCAATATAATAGAACGAATATTATAAATGTCAAATTGTCTAAAATAAAAGTTGACGAACAACACGAATAATACGCGCTTTTAGTACACGTCCACTCACAGTGAATTACAAATATTTAATGATCGACAGCAATATAATTATGAAAATAAAAGTGCAAAATAATAAAAACAATAATAATAAAATAACAACAAAAAATAAGAAAATATGGGAAAAATTTTTGCTTTTATGTATACAAAATTTTTCATATCCACAGAGTTGCAGCAATCATCCATCCGATATTCAATAAATCCGTGTCACCCTTCTATTTAAAAAAAAAGAAAAGAAGAACCAGAAACAAAAAGAACAACAAAAAATTTAATATTGTCATATGTGATCCCTAAAAAGAAATGTCACTCTTAAAATAAACAAATGCAAGAGAAAAATTCTAAAAGAAAAAGTAAAGCAAAAAAAAAAAAACAAAACAATGACAATTCCAAAATAACAAAAAAGCAAAAAAAAAAATTCAAAAATATTTTCTTAATTTTCTATAATCTCTCAAAAATATTGCAACTCTTTTATAATAAATAGAACAATACAGTCACACACTGTGGTAACGATTAAAGCGCCACTTTATTAAATGCGGTTTCATTTTTACAATGCTGTGGATGGTTAATTTTGTATAGAAAAATAAAATAGATTTCATGTATTTCATGTATTTTAAATTACATAAAATATTTAATATTTCCCAAATGTTATTATACGCACACATACATGCAAAAATTGGATGTTCTCTCACTTCCTCTCTCTTTATTTTATTTGTTTACTTTTATTTTACTCATTTTACTAAATATTCAAGTTTTTAAATTGCTTCTTATCAATGAAATATTTTTGTATTTGTCTATAGGAACAAATTGTTATCCTTTCATAAAATTATTTTATTTTTACCCTTACTATTGTGAATTGTTATCAAATTTGTATAGTAAATGCTATCTATGTACGTTATGCATGTATTGAGGGAAATTTTCTATTAAGTAACAGCAAAAGATATTTTTTATTTTGGGAAATTTGTCAATTCATATTTCTTTATTATATTTTTTTTGTTTGGAGAGTTTTTCATTCAATGTAGACTAGAATAGTAGAGTAGGGTAGACTTTGAATTGTAAATTGTAATTGTAGCTTTACATTTCAATATTATTCAAATGTATTTGTTTTCTTACATTTTTATTAAAAATTGAGTACGTGTAGCAGTTTTTAATATTAGTTTTTTTCTTTTACTCTTTTGAAAATTAAAAAAAAAAAACTCTACTTTTTTGTGTCCCCTTTTTATTTTGATACCAAAAAATGAAGAGCGATGGTATTTTCCCAATGATACGCATGCTTCCTAAAATTAATAAAGAAAGAAAGATTTATAATAAAAAAAAAAGAGAGAAAAATTATGCAAAGGCTCCGCCCTTCAATTTTTATTTTTATTTCAAAATATTGACTGCGTCTAATTGTAATTGGTTAGAAATTGAAAATTTCCCCTTTTTTTTGTATATGTTCTTACTGTTTTTTTAATGTTATACAAGATGAGTTGCGCTCTTTTCCAATTTGGACAGTTTCGGCCACCATTTTTTTTCTTTTCTTACACTTTGTTTTGTGATTTTTGGTTTTCCTTTTGTTTATTTTTTTAACTTTTCTTTTGTTTTCATTTTTTGTTCTCATATATTGTTATGTAAATAATCTTAAGTCGATAAGAAGATAAATGAAAGAGAAAAGAGAGAGAAAGAGAAAGAGAATTTTGTTTTTCTTTTATTTTTAATGCTCATTGCTGGTATATTAATAAAGCTTTTCTTTTATTTTTTCATTTTTTTTAAATCATAAGTAAATTTTCGTTTTATCCTTGTAAAATGAGAAGAAAAATGGAATAATAAAAAAAAAATGAAAAAATATCCTTGAATTTTCATTTTTTTTTTGCTTTTTTGTACATGGCGATTATTTCTTTTATACTTTTCTAGTTTATTGATGTTTAAGTTTTTGCTTTTCTGCTTGTTTAAATTTTGTCAGATTACATACATAAATATTTTGGATTAAAAAAAAAAAATGGGGGATAAAAAGAAAGAAACGAAATATAAAATAAAAAAGTTAAATCCTTAAAAAGGATCTTTGAGGATTTAAACATAACAAAAAAAAAATTATGATAATGATGATGAAGAAGACTAAAAGACTATGATGAAATTTATAAATTTCTTTGTGCAGGATAACGCAAAAACAAGAAGAGCGCACATCATAAAAAAGAAATAATTTTCATTTCTTTTTTCTCCCATTTTTCATTGTTTTTCGCATTAAGGACACAAACAACAGAGTGGAATATGCATTTATGTATGTAATAATAATTGTAATAATAATAATAATAATAAAATAATAATAAATAAAAAGGATATGTAGACATAAGATTCTTTATAATAAAAAAAAAACTATAAAAAATTCTATTTGAACTTGTAAAATATTTTTACCTTTACCATCTATTTTTGCCTTTTCTATACATACACCATAATATTACCAATTTTCATACCATATTTGTACCAAATTTTTTATTGTTTTCTGTATATACTCGTATATATGAATGAACATTAAATTTATAAAGGAGGAAATTATTTATTGTGAATTTTTAAAGCCTAAATTTTCAGGTTCAAATCATTCAAAATTTTATTATCCTTTCTAAATATATTCGTCAGTTTTCAGCTTTTTACTCTTATTTTTTTTATTAACTTTTTTCCTTATTTTAATCTAAAACAAAAGAAATGGTATTTTTTCACAAAAGAAGACTAAAACACAATCACAAAGTCAAAAACAAAAAAAGGATCTAAACTGACTTAGTTTTATTACAATGTTAGGAAAAAAATTTTTTTTTGTGAATTGGTAAATTTTGTGATTATCAAAGTTGTAAAATTAACAAAAAAAAAAAGCGAAAAACAAAATTCAAATTTATGAATCCTGACAGGATATATGAGATTTTATTACTAATACATAATTTTTTTGTTGTTTTTATGTTGTTATTGTTGAATTAGAGGTCGTAAGTTGTAGAAGTGTAAAGAAAAAAAAAATAGGAAAATAAAGCAGAAAAAAGTTGTTGCATGTTCAACATTTTCAATAATAAAAATTTTTCGCAACTACCCCCACCTCTTCCTCTACTCTCCCTCTCTAAACTCCTTGAGTTTTCCTTTTGTTCGTCTTTGTTTTTACTACAATTTTATTTTCCTGGAAATTTCTTTTTTTTTTTTTTAAATTTTAAAGTAACTTTTTTTCTCTATTTTTATTGTTGTTTTTATTACAACAGAACGAGAATATCTGAGACATGTGCCATATTTTATATAGTTTTATTGTATGTATGTATATATATCATTATTAGAGTATATAAATTTGTAAATTTTTGTATTATATAGAGAAATATTTCTTAGATTTTGAATGACTATTTTCAATAAAATTTATTTTTTTATTTTAATTTTGTATATTTTTGCTTTTGGGATTTATTGATTTTTGGAATGCGCTTTCAACTTTCAATATCCTTTATGTAGTAACTATGTTGATATAATATTAAATAAAAGTTAAGGTCATAAGTTTATTGAATTTAAGGACACCTTAATGTATCGTCTAATTTTTAATATTGAAATTTAAAATATTCTAATTGAAAATATGGCTATATTGTAAAATTTAAAATGAATGCTTTTAAATAAATGAAATTAAATTAATTCAATTCTATTCTGGTACTTGATTTGCATCAAATTTGATAGTTAAGTATCACAATTCGTTCAACGACAATTGCAAATTAAGATTTTACTACCACTAGTTAAAAGTCGCAGATTCAATAATGTTGGAAGATTTAGAAGAAGAATTTGAGCTTAAGATAGATTTTTAAGTGGGAAAAAGTACTTCAAACGGACTATAAAAGGTTCTCTTTAGTATAAGCAGCATTTTTCAATCCTTACTTAAATACCAAATTTCCAAATTGGAAACACAAATCCAAACTGCATTTCGTAAAATACCAAATTTATTTGGATGGTATTTCAATTAGAAAATGAACTCGTTTCGAATGTCTTCAATATTTTAAATTTTCTGGAGAAATTATCGCGGAAAATGAAAATTAGAAAGTATCCTTGATTCCGTTTAACAAAAATAAATCAGTAAACCATTAAAAATTATAATATTTACATTGCACACTAACAGACAGCTTGATTATGTGTTTTGTTTTTTCAGTTTTTTGTTCACATTCTAATTGGTATTCTCAATTTGTGAGAAAAGAATGGCGGAAACCAAGGGTCTAATCATGTATGTCTTTATTTTATTCGCCAAGTGAGAAGAAAGTGAGTAACTATCATAGTGTAAATTTAGAGTGAGAAAAAATATAAAATT